AACTAAACTCAGAACTTCAGTTAGGGTTTTGAAAAGAAGTTTTGGTTAACAAAGGTTGAGCAATTAATTAGTGATTAATTATCAATCAACCATCTCAACTAATTACACCGTAACAAGGTTCAAACATTACCCTAATTCATGGTACAAAAGTTGGACCAGTTTTATTTATGAAAATTCATTTGAAAAATCTCCAAAGATTGAACTTAAAGCTGTTTTTCAGAGACAGAATCACAAATGGCTAAGTGCTGGAAATAGTTTTGAATTCAACCTTTGAAGCTCAATTTAACATGTTTGACTTGAAAACTAAAACAAACTTGTATCCTATATTACAAAGCACATTATAAACCACAAAGTTTATATTAACAAAATTTTATTTGTTTAAACAAATTCTCATATATAAATTCACAAAGTTGCTTAAACACTATTATAGACATCATTTCATGAAATATGTGAAATATAAAATATGCAACATATGAAACACTACAATGCAACATATGAAACATCACATATATATGCAACATGGACATGCTACTATTGAAACATACAATGCATTTAATGAAACAATACTTGATGATTATGCTTCATGATGCACATGATCAAGTTTTAATTGCCTTTTAACATCTGGGATGTTACAGACCTCGGGCTTAGGATCCACCTTCGACCATTCCAATCTACTACGTAGCTAGGAGCAACAGCCCCCGTAATTGAGCATACGAATACAAGAGCAGCCACACCACTGGAGTAGGGATTAGTGCGCACCGCACCCCAAACCAGTATAAAATCTCTGTGTCTCGTGTGCTACCATCTGATTCCGTCTACGCGATCACGTTGCTGGATATTGCCAGAGCAAAACAATCCGACACCATGTCTCTTGATCTTCTCCCCCTAGCCTCAAGACACCATGTCATGTCTCATATGCAATAAGCTCCTCCAAAGCACTAGTCGTTGAGCACTTGCAACATAACCAAGCCACCTCTCCACCACGGCTTACAATAATATGGGGTCAAATTACAAATTGGAGATTGCCACGACATATCCCTTGATAAAATAATCTAAATGGGCATATGGATCACTTAATATGGGGTCAAATTACAAATTGGAGATTGCCACGACATATCCCTTGTGAATATAATCTAAATGGGCATATGGATCGCATGATCTGGAGTTTGGATGTGATACTAATGGTAATTGCAACGTGTCCACGTCCACAAACTACAAAACTAAACTATCTAGTTTTTTATTTTCAAATCAAAACATTCCATTTCTTATGAAACGTATTTATTGAGTTGTTTTGATGTGTGAATTACAAGAGTTTTGACTAATGACCAAGAAGAACCCCCCTCATCTTGTACTTTTTAATCTTTTCTCTCCACCCTACTTTCTCAAATCATATGTGTTGTTCTTCTCTTGCCTGGTAAGGGGATCTAATGAGCTTGCCAATACTAGGGCAACCTAAGATGTACTTGCTTTGATGGTCTCTCTTGGACAATCGTTACTTAGTGTACCCGACAAATGAAAGAACCCCATTTCTGAAATTGGGAGTCTTCAGTTTCCGTCGAAGGCATTAAGGTGTGCCTCTATGTGTTGTATGTAATGTGCTCATATGTCCCAACATGAACATGGAGACTGTTTACATACATGAGTATATATATATATATATATATATATATATATATATATATATATATATATATATATTAAAATCGGTAGTGTTTTCTTGGTCCATCACTCTCTCCCATATAAGTAAGAGCAAAGTACTCAGGAACAATGCAGAGTCCGATGCTAAGACAAATTAGAATGCATGATGCCATCATTAGATAAATGTGTAAACCATCCATTCTGATAAGAGTTAGAATAGCACATGTCCATGTGTGGTACATAATTTGATTCCAAGACAAGTTAGAATGGGCAAGAACAAAAACTGGCAATGATATGAAAAATGTCACTGACGGGTAGTGGCTTGACCAGCATTGATATATGACTGCTGGTTGGTGGTTTTATCCAGCAGTGATAGGAGCCATCATTGTTGGATCATTAGCTTCTCGCCAACTTTCTGGATGCTGGGCTTACCCACCCAGTAGTGATAAGTAGTCACTGCCGGCTCTAGCACAACCGACACTATGCTCCGGCAGTGATTGCATGTGCTGGCGTAGTGGGCATATGGCAAGCGAGCAGACGGCCCAGAGCATGCAGACACAAGGAGCGACAACCTTTCGCATGGCACCTGGTGGGCGATGGCCTACATGGGAACAACAGCATAGCAGGCCCCACAAAAAAAGGGGGCATATGGCAGGCGAGCAACGGTATCCCTGGAACTGTATGCGGACATGACAAGCGACGGCCTTTCATGCGGCGTATGGCAGGCTATGGCCTACATAGAGATGATGGCACAATAGGCCCCATGAAGAAAAGGCGGGGCATATGGCAAAGAAGCAGCGATGGCCAGGTGCTGCATGCGAACATGATGAGCGACGAACTTTCGCACGGCGCACGGCGGGTGATGGCCTACTACACTGGGACCATGACATAGCATGCCACATGAAGAAACCACGTGACAACGTCTTACCCTAGTGTGCCTTCACCAATTTCTTCAGTCCTCAGTGCACGAGTTGAAATTGTTTCCTCTGCCAAAAATGGCTCCCTTCTCTATCCTCTTAAATCTTCCTGCCAGCTCATCAATTTATTGATGTGGCACCTTTATTAATGGTAAAAAACCACTGCATTGGGACTACCCTAATTAAGCCGATTTAAGGATGAACTAAAAAGATTATTGATAGACAACCATGAGTACTTACAGTAAACTATATCTTTCATATTTTGATTACATTTAGGCAAGTGATGGTTGGAAAGTGCCCAGATTTTACAAATTCAACAGTGAAGATAATAAAACTCAATGGAGAACAGTAGTTTATTTCTTGCACATTTGGATGAAGCTACTACCGTGGAGCATATGAGAATGCACAATTTTTTGTTATGTCTTAATGGTACTGCTATTGTTGTGGTCTTCTTCTTTATAACGTTGCTCTATTGGTTCTTGGGCACAACTAGAGGAAAAGTTTCATGAACACTTTTATAATGGAACCAATGAGACGATATTGTCTAATTTAGCATCGCTTATAATCAAGGGCATGACGAGTTTGTCCTTGATAATGTCAAAAGGTTTAGAGATATTGTCTAATTTCTGAAAGATCATGCTGATTTATCTTTTGTTGGCTTATCCTCTAATACAAAGAAAAGCTTGAGCACTTTGAGGTTCTCATTGTTAATCAATTGTTGCAAAAAGCTTCAACATTCGAAAGCTGAAGTAATTTAGGAGAAATTCATGAGTCACATCATCCTAACATGCATGTTGTTGAGTATATTCGGATAGCTCGAACGATGAAACTAAAGATTGTTTTGCTATTGAATTTGTATGGCCAGCACAAGGCGATTCACGATAAGAAGATATGAAATTTACATTTGATGTCTCAAATGTAGCCATATTTTTTATGAGATGTTGAAAATTGATAATTCAAATTATCTCATCCTTTGCCACCACTCAATGAACTGAAGCTTTGTGCATAATGTTAATGGCATAATTATGCTTCTCATGCTACTAATGACTGCAATGTCTTCCGTCGGCATGTCCAATCAACCATTAATGAATAATGATTGAGTCTATCAACGATGAAAATTAACAAAGTGCCGCCCTTCCCAATCAATACTCTGGAATTGAATAATATGCTATCTTGGTTCGGTCCAATGAGGCCAAATCTATTGCTAGAACACAATGTGATAATTAATGGTCCTAGGAAGATGGGAAGAATGAGAAGATCTCATGCCACGAAGTCATGCCCTGGAAGTCTGTTGATGGTTGGGAGAGCATCAAAATCACCATCAAATATTCTGGTCTCAGGGGAGGGGGAGGGGGGGACTCCCATTGGAAAGCAAAAATAAGATGTTATGATAGCAAAAAACTGCAATTTCGATTTCTCAAATCGGCCTATGTAAGGTAGATCAAAAACCCTTGCACACCCTCAGGTGAAAGTAATCAGAAGTTGGAAATTGGAAGACAAATAAAATCAAGATTTCCATCAAAGGTGCAATCGTCACAGTAGACTTTTGACCGACTTCTGAACAAGTACACCAAGCAATATGGGCATATACAAGAAGTAGTTCGGTCACCTATGAAGCAAATTTATGTGTCTAAGAAGGAGGTTTCGACTGCTTATGAAAGCCATAAAACAAACATTTTTTACAATCGACAACATGGAAGGGCATGTCAATGAAATCGACGAGCTGATTATCATTGAAAATTTAGATCAACTCTCTATGCAGAAAGTGGAGATACAAGGTTCTACAAATGATGATGAAGCCAAGAGTATTTCCAACTTTGATGGTGCCCTTCGTGCTTGACAAAAATGAAATGGCACAAGATTCAACACACTCGTTGTAAGAAAATCAAGCAAGAGACATGTCAAAATGAAATGGCACAAGCTTCAACACCATCGTTGTAAGAAAATCAAGCAAGGGGGAGGGACCTCACCTCACACTATCCATTAGAGAACATGTTATTCGATTTGGATCTGAGGAGAGAGTGCATGAGAAAGAAAACAGAGAGGAAGGCATTTGATCTGGGTTCCTACTAGAACAGTCATATTACGACAATTATCACAATGCTACATAGAAGAAAGGGAAGCCATCAACACTAACTTTTCTTGCCAGAAAAATTGGTAATTAATGTAAATACCTTAGTCTTCAAGGGACAAAGGTTTTTACATTTGTTAAAAGAAATAAAATGCGAAAACAAGCTAAAAAGGAAATACAAAAGGCAATGGTAAAAGGAAAATGAACCATGCTAGCTGGTATACTAATTTATCATAGACTCAAACTAATCTTGTCTATTTCGACCATTATGATTTGACTGCCGACCACCTATGACCAAATATCCTCCTCCTGGTTGTCTCACATTGTCCAAAGTATCAAGAGGAGATAGTTTCCTTAACCACATGGATCTCGCCTTACATCAATGAGCAGATGTTAGGGTTCTCATCACTGAAAATGTTGTCATGTTTGGGCGGCAGTTGCATCGGGTAGTACATCGGTGGTGGGTATTGCTGCTGCTTGTGCCCATGCCCATTGTCGTACCCCATCAGCTGGTACCCGGTGCAACCAGGCCCATAGTGGGCATTTTGGCTGTGAGGGGAATGGGCGTTCATCATCATCTCGTGCTCCTGTTGAGGCTGCACCATTATGCTTGGTTGTTGCAGCATTGGGTTCCTGGCTACCTGCTGCATCATCTCCGATCCGCTGCTGCCAGCACCGCTAGGATACCCAGGCAAGCTGTTGGCAGGTATACCAAGCCCATGTACAGCACCGCCACCATATGATGGCTGCACGTTGTAGCCACCCATGTGAGTGTAGGGACCCATCGACATGCCGCCCATCTGGCCCATATTGGGGAAGCTGGCGGGGCCTATCATGTTATTAGTGGGCCTCATCATTCCCCCCTTCTGTGGCGCCATACTGCCACCCATCATCTGGCTGCCTAAACCAGCACTACTGTCTTTCTTAGCTTGGCTACGGTTGTTCAGGCTGCCCAGGGCACTGTTGTGTGGCGGCTGCCCAACCCCAGTGCCACCGTTCTTGACTTGGCTGCCTCCAGCATCCTGGTATAGCTTTGTGCCCACATCTTTCTTGTTGTCATTGTTAGCATTTCCCGGTACTAGGACTTTGGTACCTCCACCAATCTTCTTGCCACTCTGCTTACCACCCCTATTGATGGCTGGAGGCATGCCCATGAGATGAGGAGGAAGCTTCTTCCCCTTCAGCGTTTGCAGCCTCTGCTCAATCTGTTGTTGTATATTTGCAAGATGCTGCTCCGGTGTCGGTGTCAGCTGAGGTAGCACCATTGTTGCATCATTCGTGCCACCACTGCTTCTGGCAGCACAGCCACCACTGCTGCTGGCTTCACCCTGGGGTAGACCCTTGCCACTAGCATCCTTCAGCTGATCGCCCATGTCATTACCACCAAGCTGGAGCTTTTGGTGCTTGCTTACTGCAGCGGAATTTGCATCCCACAGCTGAGCGGACATGCCAGACTTCTTCAACTTTTTGAAGACAGTATCCATGTCCATGACGCCAGTCACCGTTACCTTCCCTTGCTGTCTATTAACATTGGTTTGGTAGACACCTGTGCAGATTAATCCAGCACATTTCTATTATATAGGGGAAAAGAATAGAAAGATATGGGAAAAGTACTATGGCTGAACAGAAAAAAGCCTGTAGAGACTGGAATAAAAACAAAAGAATACAATGATTTGTGATTTAAAAATATTTGTTTTTTACCATCAATCTTATGCATGATCTTTTTTATTTCCTTGACGCATCCATTGCAGTTGATGTCGACTTTCAGGTCACAGGTCTGGGAAAAAAGAGGAAAAAATTGTTAAGGAACAACATAAGGCTTGCTGGAGACATGCACAACAAGATGATGATTGTTGAGTTGCCTGCCTGATAAAAACTACAGAAAGCACAAGAAGTAAAATATATGGAATGCATGAGGGCTGTTGCTTGAGTTGAGAGGAAGCAAAAAAAAAAAATCACCTGCACCGTGAGAATGGTCTCCTTAAGCATCCTTGACTACCTCAAATGCTGGAGCCTCCAAATCACCTGCTGGATTGTTGGTCTTTCCTTGTACCTTCACAATGAAAAGGTCGAGGTGAGACACTGAGACCCTCACAGGAAGAGAGAGAAAGAGACTACGGTTTCTGTGTCAAGAGACAGAAAGAGACTTGGATTCTTGGTTGATCTTCGATTCTTCCCCCAACCCTATTTGGTTAACAAATAGGTCCTCATCTCTTATAATTAACTTGGGCTTTTTTTTTATAATAGGGAGGTATCTAGGCATGGGCAATGCTAAGGTACTCCAATTTCCTATAAAGAGGTAATATCTCAAATAAATCTGAGCTGTTAAATTTTTGGATTTTAGGAATTAATCAGTAAATAAAAAATCATAAGAACAGAAAAAAAAATCCCTCCCGATCCCCTTAATGACAACAGAAAGAGAGCGCGGGCAATCCTTCTTTGTTCGTGCTTAGAGGTGCAAATCATTAGTCACATCACTCATCACAACACACACGTATCACATGAATGCACAGGCTAAATGTATCATTACTCACATCACTCATCACCTAACATGCGCATACATGTTATCAGGTTGGCATATATATGCGAATCATATCCATGCAAAATCAACTGTATCAAGTCACATGCAAAATTACATGGCAATCAACAAATATCAAGTCCAAATTTACAAAATAAAAAAGATATACCATATTTGCCAGATCACACATGCATCAATCAAATCTAGAAAAAGATTTTTATATCTAAATTTTTCCTTATTTATCTTATTTTATAGAACAAATAAATAAATATATTTCACATATTACCACATAGGAGGGAACAATTTCATGTCTTGCAATAAAAACACACATAAAGAATAGATCTAGGGAGAGAGAAATAGCAAACCCGTGTTGGAGTTAGTGTTTGCAAAAATTAAACCATGAGCAAGGCTAATCAAACGCCTGTTATGTTGCCTACCAGAGAAAAATATGCACGCCAAAGGAACAAGATACTTCCCCTATATATATCTACAACAACCTAAGCACATGAAATGTGTTTATGTTGGGCTTACCTTTCGTTTCCGTGAGAATGCCTTTGGCCCCAAAAGCTGAAGGCTTTTTTTGTTCTTCCACAAATTGTGAAATATGGTTCTTGTACAAATGAGTAGCGAAGGAGGGGGTTTAAATAGGCTAAATGTGCAGGCAGTATATTAATGTTGGGATATCTTGTGCAGATATTATACAATCCTATATTAATGTTGGGTTATCTTTATTTTTCCTTTCAAAAAATCCCTGTCCTCTTATAAATTTTACATACTAGTCCCTCTGTACTTCTATTTAGTTAGGCCATAACATTACAACTTTAGCAAGCTACTATTAAACAAGGAATCTTCTGTTAAGTATATATGACGGTATTTGTCAAAATGGTTTAACAAGAATATTATGTATGTAAAAAAATGCACTATTCACCTAAGCGTTTGATTAGCCCACTTACATACTAGTTAAACACTACACAATGGTACACCATTTCTATTTATTAGGTCGTTTAGCCTGTTTAAATGGTCATTTTTCTTGTTTAAGCGACCATTTAGAACAAATAATAATGGCTAAACGACAAGTGACCAACTATTTACCTTTTAGAATTTAGGATAATGCTGAGAAAATGTTGCATTCTAGTATTGAAATCCTAATGTCCAAGTTGGGAAAATTTTATCTTTAGCTATATGTGACAATAAATCGTTAATGACATAAAGGTTGCATCATGTTCTTCAAGACTGCCTTAAGCTATAGACTATCTACGTAATGATTACGTTGAGCCATTACGTGTTTCATGCAAAACGTTATTGCTTGCATGAAGAAACATGCATTCTACGTAAGGATCTTGTTATATCACTATATATTTGTCTCATTTAGAGCGTTACATCTTGCATTAGAAAACATACAACGTATGGATCACGTGATACAGAAGTTCGCTTAGCTCGATGTAGTAACGCATCTCATTCTCTAAGGTTTTCATCCTATTCAATGAGAGCATATATATGATGTTTGGTGAGACATGTTAGTTGTGGAGTGCTTCTCGCAATGACTCCACACGACATTGTTTATACACAAGAATAAGCGGTCAACATCTTTGAACATACTAGCGATTAATCACAGAAATATAAGAAAAGTAGGGGAAATCGATGAGACTTTCCATCACCTACCTAATAGGTCAATGTCCCAAACAATAAAACTAATTTTATGGAAAATAACTAGCTATGAAGTGGTGTAATCTCTTTCAACTATGGAAAAGTTTGTTTAATCAAATGAGTTAGCCCATGTGCCACCTTGTTCCATGAAATATTGTTAGGCAAATTTCATCCATTAAGCACAGTTTTTTTGTCTATTTAAATCAACAGCAGGTTAACCAATGTACTTGATTGTGAATAATCTTGAAAAGGGGGGCTTGAATGCCAAAGGCTAGAGAAGGGATGCACAATAATTAATGAACATAGAGATGTGGTGCATGAGGTCATAGCATCTGGTACAGCCTGCAGGAGCGCTTCATGCATTTTGTTTGGTGAGTCAGAGGATTGTGGCAACCACAAAACATTTTACTTATTATACATTATGGTGTTTTTGAGTTTAAGCTATCGCCAAACTTTTATCTCCTCTTTCTGTTAGTTTGTTACTATCATTTACTATAGTATAGCATTTTTTAACTCTTCTTCTTCTGCCGATCCAAAAATTTGCTCTTCTTTTCTGCTAGGCGGTTAGTGTATTTTAGTAGGAGTAACTCCTCTTCTCCTACTTTATCTTTACATACATTCACCTTTCAAATCAAAATGAAATGGATAAATAGAATGCATCAAATGGTTGTTGTGTCTCAGTTCACGCAAGTACATCCAACACTTTTTTTATTGATTCCATGGCAGTGAGCACATTTTTTCATGTGGCGTTCTGTGCAAGGATGGATAATTTGGTCAAATGAATAGAACAGATACATATCATTTCAACCATACAAATATCTATGAAGATTTTACAGCTAATGCATTCATTTTACAGCTAACACAATTCATTGCTACTGCCAGAGATACGCATCTGCAGTCGGTTATAGCTAGACTAAGGAAGATAGGTTCATAAAGTATTGCTATTATTTGTCTATATTCACATGTCTGGTATTCAATATGTGCAAATAAATACACATATATCTAACCAAACCACTATGTTCATTGTTTTTCTATGATTCATTGCTTGTGCTAGAGGCTGACATGCATGGTCTGCTATAGCTAGAATAATGTTATTTTAATTGCTAAAAAGGACAATATAGACTGATGCCATTCAATAGAGATTGACATAAATAGTCTACTACAGCTGTATAAACTGATGTCATTTAAGTGCTACAAAAAAGGACAATCTATTGAAAGAGAGCTACATAGATATTTGTATATGTTTTCAAGTGCCACATTTAGTTCATGCAAATAAATATACATATATATACAAATCAAACCACTATATTTTTGTATCACTACTAGAGCTGGGTTTTTTCTATCGACAGGAATGGCTTAAAACTTGTTAGGAATGTGATTCATGATGGCTGGCTGTTAGGAAATGGCCGATAGGATCGGCTTGTCAGGAAAAGCACTTTACTCCTATCAGCTGTATGTCAGGAAATCTTTCCTATTGGCATTTCCTGACGGCCTAGGGTGGGCCGATCAATCCTTTGTTCTATCCAGTAAACTGCCAGGAATTACTGTTAGGCATGCCGTCTAGGTACCAACCGGAACTGACACCTTTCCTGGCATTTAAACTGACAAGAACTCAATGTATATCAGTTTTATATTAATAAAAATGCATTCAACACTACGTCGGAATAGCACTTCACTGCCGGTTTAAAACACCCCATCACTGCCGGATTTTGAACCGGCACAACCATACCGGCAGTGATGAGGGTCAGCTATCACTATCGGTTTCTACAAACCGGCAGTATTCTTCAACTTCAGTGCCGGTTCTTTATAGAACTGGCAGAGTTCTGGTCCACCAACACTGCCGGTTCATTAAACCACCCGATAGAGTTCAGTTCCACCAAACACTGTCGGTTTGTGTTTTAATTGGCAGTGTTGTCATAACGAGCACTGCCGGTTTGTGACAAGAACCGGCAGAGTTCAGTTCCACCAAACACTGTCGGTTTGTGTGTTTAACCGACAGTGTTGTCATAACGAGCACTGCCGGTTTGTGACAAGAACCGGCAGTGATGGGATAAGCTAACGCTGCCGGTTTGTGGCTCAAGCCGGCAGTGCCATCTGGGCCAACACTGTCGGTTTATTTCTAACTGGCGGTGAAGGTTACGAGAACACTGCCAGTTTGTTGCTAACCGGTAGTGATGGCCCTTTCGCATTTTATTGTTTTATAATTTATTTTAATTTATATTTTTTTCGTGGAATCGGGTTTCGCTTTATATACGCTACGTATATGACAGGTCCATCGATATTAAACATTACAAATGTTACTGTGACAGTTCAAATGTTTTTATCAAGAACTCGATCCCTCAAAATAAAAAAAAATTATTCGATAAGATGAATCATGCTTCTTGGACTTCTTACAATAATCTAGCGAGCCGCTCTGGGCCATATTGGTCCTTGAACTTCACGGATTGTGCGATGGAAAATACTCCATCTTTTTCTAATACCTCGGCTAAGATGAATTTTGCCAGCTCCGATTGCAGTGCGACGATCTCCATGTCTAACAGCCTTTCGTGGTTATATTTCTTGCGCTGTCGTTCAAAAAAGATGATATCCAAAGAGGAATCAGTAAATCATTTTATTGAATTATTAACAGACATAAATAAAATGGGGATTATACACACCAACTTATCTGCTTCTTCCGATTTTCCGCCGATGTAGCGAAGCATTGCCCATATTACATAAAACCCGCATTCATTGTTTCCCACCCGCTGTTTTAGGTACTTCCCCTCCATTTTGACAACCTTGAATGGGACCTACGTCCCACCAATATGTTTTCTTCGGACACTGC